GGGAAGAATGGGTCACACATAAATATAAAAAAGGCTTTATAGGAAAAAAACATACTTTAGGGCGGGGAAAAAACAAACAAACCACTGATGCCATCAGTTCAGAGAGTTAAGTTCAAAGAGCATTTGCTGAGCTCCTTCCATACACAAACCACAGGAAGATGAAGGAGCAACGACAGTTAAAGTAGGTTGTATGCACACAGAACATGCTGGCTTTCATAGACAGTTAGACTTCTCTAACTTCAGACACATGTAGATATTCATATTCCTCACCATTTTGATTCCGAGTTTCCACAACCTCTCATCTGCACATTTCATTAGTCTCTGTATACACTGTCAGGGTGATCTTATATAACGAAAACCTGGTCCTATTCTTAAAACTGTTAATTGTGCCCACAGAAAAAAATCAGCTCTCAGTAAACGGGCCCTCTGTTTTCGGATCCCTGCCCACCTTTCCGGTCTCATTTCCCATCACTCCCAAATCCTGCCCCCGTTTCTAGCCTCAAATTCATGGCCCAAGTTCGCCTGCTTTCCTATAAGGCTTTTTTCATGACCCACACCCGCACCCCTACCTTCTGTCTACTAAGGTCATCTTTCATGACCAGTGTTCACATCTCTTCTGGGAGGATGTTCCTGATCACCTTAACTCTTCTATTTATCCCAGGGATATCTATTAACATCATTACTTATTTGTCTATTTACCTCCCACACCAGATTATGAGTTTCTTGAAGATCAGGGGTGGAGATTTATTTGAATATCATTATATCAAGAGCCAAGAAAAGTGCCTGACACATAGATGTTCAATGTATTTTGTTAAATTTGGATGAATGAGTGGATAAGCAAATAGGTTAAGGGGGCGGGGGGGGGGAATGTGGTTTTGGCACATGCTTAAGAACACAGGCTTTACAATATACCAAACAGACAAATAAATGTCTACTTGTTTGAATGTAGTGAAATATAAAGGCAATTTTCACTAATGAACATGTTAGTGTCTACTGTTGATTATATTATACATCTAAAGGGGTGATTACATAGCTAAGGTTAACACTTTCTGTTAGTTGCTTTAAAAATCAGTAAAATCGAGAATATAAAAACTTTTTAGATTTCAAAACAATACCATTCTTTCACACTAGTTCAGTAATGGTGTCAGAGAAGCGAGGCCGGGGAGAGACAGGTTGGGAGGGACAGAGGGAACTGAAGTGATACACGGAAGCAAAACATACAAGTAAAAAAGCTCCTACATAAAAAACACAGTGTGAGGAGCAAATTGCTTAGGCTATTTCTTCGCAAACAGAGTCCAGACTTGCTTTTTCAAGTTTGAGATTTCTTGTCTATCTTGTACAAATGAAGTAGTAGTTAGGTCGTTATACAGAAATATCATCTCTTGCTTGTGAATTACATAGATTCCTTTTACATATTCTGGTAGACTGATTTTAATGATTTTAATAAAATGTAAGATTTTATTATTCTTATGTAGGCCTAGGTCGTTAAGGCATCAAGATAAAATGTTGGCTACAAAGCAACCAATTATTTTATGAAGGTATACGATCGGCTGCCTACTTGCAAACTTGTGGATGACAACAGGGTCCCTTTTTGATTCAAGTTCATCAAAGCTGGCAGGCACATGTGGGAGGACTCTAGAGTTTGAATGCAGGATAAGGATAAAGTCAGGAACAAGGAAGTCAACAAGCCATGGCCAGAAGCAGAATTTCAGAGGCTGAGGTAGCAGAGACTGAGCCAAAGTCAGAGGCAAGGGCTAGAATTTTCCTCTAAAAGGTTGCAAATCAATTAGTACAACGTACTAGTCAATTAGTGCAAAACCTTCTCCTAATTTTGAAAATCAATGCCCACCTGAGAGCTGATTCTCCAGAAACTGAGAAACTGTGCCTTAAGGAAGGTGGGGTTTTCTGCTGACCACCTCAAAGAAATTAAATCTATTTGAAAATGTCTCTTATAGATGGTAAATAACATTTTATGTTTTGAGATTTATAGCTCTCTCAATTCCTCAACCAAAGGACCCAAACCAAATTAAACTAATTTTATTTTATTGATTTAATTACTTTATTGATCCTAAATAGAAAACCCCCTACATCTGTTTATTAGACTTAAATGTAAAATTACCTAAAATGATATATTAAAAATCTATTTCTAAATATATTTTAGAAAAAATGGTTATCAAAAAATTCTGATAAATTAACAGTGAATTGCCCTTTAAAAATGATGTTGTTATTAGCATTAAATTTTATAATAACTTATAAACTCAATAAAAAATACTCATAAAATCTATTATTTCCATGGGATTAAGATATTTCTTGCATAGAACCTAGGATTGGACATACATGGCATATTTTTCCTTAATGAGCCTTAATGAAAATATTTCATATAGTAAAAGCATCATAAATAATGTTGACCATGTCTTACCCAATATAGTTCAGCCTAGAAAAAATAATATATAATCAATAATGCAAATAGTTTTAGATGCTACAATTTGTTTGGTGTAGATGGTTGGTCAGTTTCTATAGTAATGCATTTAACTGGAACCTTTTAGAAAATGCTGCTGGACTGATCTAAGAATTTACTAAAGACTAATCTGGCTGATAGTATGATATACAACTGAAAATTATTTGGGATATAATAACAGCTTTACTTCCATCCCTCTTTTATTATTTTCATTTCAAAGAGATGGTTAAAAATATAAGGTTTATCAATATACTAAAGTGTCATAAAGTGATTTTCTGGCCTATTAATGATTCTGAATTTCATGTCATTTATATCTCTAATCTTGTATACAGTAATTATATCTAAGGCCAATGACATTTTTTGGTTATTCAAGACTAAAGAATGTAAGACAACATAATAGAACTCTCATCCAGGTATGTTTACTAGCCTTGGAGTTGCAAGATGGTTGCAGTATGCATAAAGTAGTAGAAAGATTCAGAATGTGTGGAAATGAGAAAAATATTTTGTGGGACTTTAAGTACACTGATATACCTTTTTTGACAGCAATATCAAAATGCAGCAAAAACATAAAGGTGTTCATACTTTTAACCCAGTGATCTCACTCTTGAGAAAAAATTGAATAGATGAGAAGTTGAATGCCTGAGAATATTCTCAGCAGCATTCTATAATGTAACAAATAATGGATAACTATCTCAGTGGTTAACAAGAGGAAGTAGTGATTATGCGGTAACAATCGAAATTAAATTTATGATACAACCTTTTAAAAAAATAATAAGACTAGGTAGCAACATGGATGTACAACGTTCATGATGTAATGTTAATGATCTCCACAATGTAATGACAATAATAATGTAAAATATATATTCATGGAAACTGATAAAATACTGATACAAAATGAAAAATTATTAGTCATATTTATTAATTTTTAATCATATTGATATGAAACCTTTTAAATTACAATACTAAGGTTACTTTTTAGTCATACAATTCTAAGTTCTAGTAGATAGTGCTACTAAATCTATTGGACACACTAAAAAGACTTGTGGGTTTTGTTCAAGTTAGGTGTCCTGCAGAATCATTATCACGTCAGTGGTTCACAAACACTTCCAAGTGCCTTCCAATGGGGTCTAAAACAATAGAAAATGAGCTATGAAAGTAGAACTACCCAACAGAGTTGTTGATTTCTTCTTTTTTTTTTTTTTTTCAGGTGTACCTTTGTTAGGCTCTTCCAACTCATTGTCACTACTGACTTCCTCAAACATTCTTAGAATTTTGAACATTATGGTCTGTAGCTTTCCAATACATCTCTTATCCCGATCAGTAGGCTGATTCATGAATCAGATAAGGAAAGTATTCGAGATCCAAAGGCTGAGGTTTCCAAAAAGGAATTAAGGTAAAATGGGAATAAATTAGGTAGGAGGTAAAATATAAGTAAATTAACAAACAAACAAAAAATCTGTGGCAAAGCTGAAAAACGCACAGGCTACAGTAGGGGCCAGAGATAACAGAAACGAGTGCATCAGGCTGAGTATAAGTAATGGGGAGTGTGGGGCACTGGGGTCAGCTGCCAAGCTCGCCCTGTTTAAAAGCAGCAACCACTACATAACTCCAACAGGTTGCTGACATGCGTGAATGCAGACCTAGGGCTGCCAGATATATTCAGAACCCTTCAAGGGAAGCTAGAAAAGCACATGCTCATGTAAAATCTCTGAGTTTCAAACTGTTGACAACTAACTTGAATCAGCTTTAATTTTTCATTCCCTATGACAGTCAAAAAATCATTGCCCTTGGGCTTATTTTGTTTCATAGGCTTTCTGTGTGCCACCTCTGATCTATAGTTAGCAAACAGGGACTTCTTCAAAGGATGCTCTTTATTTACAAGAAGTCCCATACTCAAGTGAGGCCCTTCATAAGAAAAATAAAAATAAAAATGCAAAATAGTGAAGCTAAAGTAAATTGTGAGCATATTAGTAAGCATAAATCAATAAGGGTCTGCAAACTACAAGAACATTATAACAAGACCTAAATGTTCCTGAGGAGCAAAACCTTACAGAATTTTACTTTTATTTCTCTATAAGGACTGAGAAGACATTCTGAGTCACTACAAAAGGAGATTAGCCCAAAAGGCTTTTTATGACGATGGCTCCCTTTACTGAAATGACATTAAAAATGATCGGAACAAAATGACAAAATTTGACCAAGAAGGAATTGCTATGAGCTACCAAATTGCCACTAGGATCCAGGTGTGTGTCCTGTGTTGTGCCTGTTGCAAGTTTCCCGTTATCTATCCCATTCCTTTCAACTCTCATTTTCCATCCTTGGCTGTTGTTAAAAGGAAGTCCCTGGAGACTCCTGGTCTGGCTGAGTAAAGGAGGGAACAGAAGGCTAAGTGTAAAGGAGTTTTTACTTGAGCTGGAGAAATTTACCTGTCATCAAAGTTAGACTCTAGGATGGGGTTGGGCATGAGTGGTTGGAAGGAAGGGGAGAGTTATCTATTCAACTAATCATTTGCATCACATGCACCCAAGGAAAAAATGTTTACCTGGTGGAGCCACGGTTAACCTTTTTTCCTTGCTGAGCCGGTGCACTTGGATGAATTCACTCATGGAAGGGGGGCCCTTCAGAAGAAATGATTCTGTGGAGGTGGGATCAGGGGGAACTCTTAATAAATTCTGTAGGTAGGAAGCCCCTGAAGTCCTGGGACGGCTCTGATCACAAAGGGAAGGTGAAAATTGTCTTGCAGGAGATCCAAGAAAATACATATAGGAAACAAAAAAGTTTTACTTTAATTACCTTTCAAAGCCTCACCAGTGACAACATTATTTATATTGGCATTTGACTTTTTTAACATGTTAATCAAGATTTTTGTTAATTGTTTAGTTCCACATCAGGATACAACCCTACTTGAAAACTGTATTGGAAACTGAAAAAAAAATGTATTATAGTTAGTCAGTTTTAACCACAAATAGAAAATATTTATATTACTTGATTCCTTACTGAAAGCTCCTAAAATAAAAAATTTTACCATTAACTGAAAATACAGGTTAAGTAATTCAACTTCAGGACTCTGGAAAAAGGTCAGAAAATCAAGCCACTAAAAACCTTACAAGTGATTTCTTCGAGCAATATTCACATACCAAATGAGAAAAGCACAAAAACCTGCTTTTAAGAAAAAGGCTATACATATTCCATTCCATTTTACCTAAATATAAACATTTCATTTCAGTCAGTCATCAGTTTTGGTAACACGGACAAAAAAGGTCCCCTAAGCGAACCATATTCATATCCTTGCCCCATTAAAGAGAAGCTGGTAAATAACACCATTTTCAGAGGTACAATGACTGTTAAAATCATCACCCATGTAAAACATAGCTTTGTTTTTAATATCCACCTTTTATCTACCGATTTTTAGGTTGGAGGTAAGGGAGAGGCATATTTATGCGTACAAGGAACAGCAAAAATACTGACAAAACACTTGCAAGTTATATTGTGGTCAATTAAGAGGTGGGGTGTGGGCGACAGAAAGGAGTAAATAAACACAATTCTCAAAAAGGTTTTGATTTGGAAAAAACCAACATTAGCAAGGCCCATTTATACACCCAGTTCCAGATTTTCTCTTCTTTCCTTCCCTTCCTCCATCCTCCGCAATAAGAACACATCAATTTTTGCAGTTAACTAAAATCTGGCCACTGCACCATACTATAAAGATTGCTGCATGCATACCTTTTCCTCTGAGTGCCACTGCTGACCCGAATGTTGGGTGTCTGTGGGCCCTGACTATGCAGGAGGTAAGTGTCTATGGTGGGCACGGTGACTGATGCCTCCCCACTTACTTTAGGGCTGCCGATCTTGCTCTTTCCAAATTTGCCTTTGCTGCGTCGGGACTGCTCATGGTCAAACTCTAAGTCCTCCAGCCGCTGGGTCAGGGCGAGTTTTTGCTGGATAGCCATTCGTAACAAACTATTTAGAGTCTTCTTCTCATCCTCTGCGGCTGCTAACTGTCTCTGCATTTCATCCAACTGTGTGACATATTCATCACATCTGGAACCAAAACAGAAACATGGTCAGGAGAAAACTTCTTGGTGAAACTGCATTTGGAATTTAGGTCGAAAAGTAATACATTTTACTGGAATTCAGAACGCTGGCCTTCATAGAGAAGAAATGAAGTAACCTGTTCTAGTAGAAAACTGGAAATAGCAGAGCGGGTTCAATAAATGATGGCTCATCTATACAATGGAGGACATGTGGGGATATTAGTAATAAGTGACATCTTAAACCCAAGGAACAGAGTTATTGTGGGGGCTGCTCCATGGTGGCAGAAAAGTAATGAGTAAAATCTCAGGTGGTATTCACAGCGTCTTCGATGTGCTGCAATGGGTTTTTCTACTGTGTTTTGTGGAGGAACGTGACAAGTTTGTTATAGGCTATGCTTGTAGCATGCAAAAGAATAATAATGTTTATGAAGAAAACATTCTGTTCTTTATCTATATCTATAGGTTTTATTTTAATTGAGTACAGACTGCAGCTGCCACTGCTTTCAATATGGCAGATTTGCCTGAATTAGAAACCGGAATACTTCCAATGATTTCTCAACCAGATGCTAAAGCAATAGGTGTCAAAGAAAACCAAAACTTGCACAGGATTTGATACAGATCAAATGGCTGTCAGCCATCTTTGTTCAGGTGTGATGCTTGAGCTGCAGCAGGAACATCAGCTCAGTGATCTATTTCTCCCACCAAAAGGTAAAAGCTGAGCACATACACATTTGGAAGAAAGAAATGTTCACACCATTAGTCAGAGTTTTTTTCTGAATCTATTTACCCACTAATATAATAATCACAAATACTCTTCACGCACTAGCAGACAGTTTAATGACTTTGTAGAGTTATCCAAAATGTATTGTACAACCTCTGATATCAGCAAAAGACTTGTGGCCTTTTAAAGAAAAAAATAGGCCTATAGTGTAAGAACTTGAGAACCGGGTGGGTCCCCACTTTCTTTAACCTTGAATATCAAGAAACATAGTAGGGATATCATAAGAAAATTCAGGGCTTAGGAAAATACATGTGAATTGTAGGACCCTGGACTTGTTTTCATTGGTCAGAAAACAATATTTAAAAAAAATACTGTGGGGTAAGGAGATTACTATATCTGAAAAAACAAATTTCTGTGAAAAATGCACTATTTGGGGGTAATAATTCTTATATGAACCAGAATGAGACTTTAAATGTTCCTTTAAAAAAGTATTGAGTTCATTTTCAAAGAGGAAATTTATGTTTTCTTGATTCTACATGTAAGCCTGACATTTCTTTCATTAATGAGGAGTATGTGCACTATCCTCCTTGTCTGTCCTGCCACCGCATAGTGGCCAGAGGTGTATATATTCTACTCCCCAAACGCTTTTCATGCTCGCAGACCCAGAAGTCAGCTCTGCTCAGTTCCTGCACGCCTGTATGGTCCCTAGGGCACTTAGCCTCCTCACCACCATCTCCAAGAGAGTCAATCACAAAGTATAAGCTTAAGCCTTTCTCTCCTGACACCTTGCAAAAAAAGCTGGGCGGATTCCCAGACTCCTACAAAACCCAGCATTTTCTTTTACACTTATATCAGCTACATGTAAATTATTTACCGAATCTGCAAATTAAAGCCACAGTTATGCTTTGTGAACTTTGTACTGAGTTTGCATCATATGAGGTATATAACTGTTTTCATTTTGGCATTGAAAAGTGACAGCAAAAAAAGTCACATATTAAAAAATCTCAGGATTTTGAAAGCCTTGAATCAATATATTCTTAACAATCACTTGAAGCATAAAAACACAATACAGTGGCACTTCATAATGAAACTGGTAGGGGGAGGTAGTAACTAATATTTGTCTAATTAATTAGTTGGGCAGTGTGAAAAATTTGGTGATATATATAATTATATTTTAGAAGTTTTATTTAAATCACTGTGCATTAAAGTCTAAATAATTAGCTGATATGATGAGTATTAATCTTCATTATGATGGTATCTTTCTCATGTAATTCTAATGATAAGCACTTTTATGTACTTTAGTCACAGAAATTAAGTTTCAGTGGTGATAAAATAATATTTAGCTATTTTAGCAAGTAGGGCTTTTTCCTTATTGGAAGCTTTCGATGGGGTTTCTAATTCTTTTGGGCACATAAGCTCTAGAAAAAAAATATCTATTGTATTGATTTAAAAACACTTCTACGTAACAGAATTGCTTGATCCAGTACTTCCAGTAGAGGGCTCTGAAAACAGCACAAAGGGTTTTAGATTTGTCAGAGTGGAATCTCATATATTTTCTTCACATCTTACCCTTTTAGATGGTACAGAAAATACACTCACGGTGCACGTAGATGCACGAAGAAAATGTTGTAAATTTAAACATTTTTCCCATGTCCCACACCTAATCTTGGAAGGAAAAACAATCACCTTGTCGCAAACATCGCTCTCAGGGATGAGAAAGTTGCTGCATCTTCTTTCAAAGCCTTCAGTTCATTTCTAAGTTTCGTCATAGTTTCAGTCACCATTGCTTTCTCGTTTTCATATTTGTTCTTGAGATTAGCTAGTGCCACCTCAGCTGTCTAAAGCAGAAAAACCACAATGCTTACAATTTTCATCAGGAAAATCTATCATACAGATTTCTTCGTGCTGGGTCTATTACTTTCATAAAGGGAAAGTGAAACTGATCTGGTTAAATTTTATATAAACATATATATGTACTTTGGACATAAGGCAGTTTTTCTTTAATGTCAAAACGTGTTGTGAATCCATAATGTAGTTAAATTGCCCTAGAAGCCAGCTGTGAACCCAAGGCAGTATCAGGAGGCAATTATAGTAATTCAGTAAATATTTAATGCAGATTGTTGAGGGTGTAGGATTTTCAGACATGAATGCAGCCAAAATGAAACTTTATACAAAAAGAGTTTTATCAAGGAGAAGTTAGTGAAGAAGCACAGCTTCCAACTGAAATTTAATAAAACTCAAATATTCTTGTGTCACCTGTGCTCCGTGGGCCTGAAACAAATAGAATAAAAGTTATAGCCCATTGCAATTTATGATATGAGTATATGACGACAGCCTATATTTTACGCTTAAGGAAAAGAATTAACAAAGAACCAATTATTTTCTAAGTCTTTGCCTAAAACTCCTCCAAAACGATGAATTATAGTCAAATTCAATTGTCAAATTTAATAATCAAATTTCAATAATCAGATAAATCAAAATAATAAAATTTTAATAGTCTAATTTAATTTTCACAATC